AGAATGTTCCAAAGAGCGGGGGCTACCGCAGAGAAGGCCCCACTTTAGCAGTTCTTTGGGTAGAGCGAGCAGAAACTGTCAGAGAAAGCCAGTGAATGTAGTTGGTAATTTTCACTTCTATTATTAACCATAATTAAATGCTGCAATACTTAGAATAATAGTAACAAGAGAACATTAACTAGCCTATATGTAGCCTCTATCTATTTTTATGCCTTTTAAAGATGTCATGTTTTATTTATTAAGTTACATATCATGAATAAAGTTGGACTAGTTGCTAAATTATGAGAGGTGCAACATTCATTAGATTGAGGTAATCCAAAAGTAAGCTCCATTGAGACATTTCTTAGTAGAAATCTATAGGATTACACTGCAAATGTTGTATCTCACACTGGAAAAAATCCACTTGTTATAGTACCTAGAAGAGAAATGATCAGAAATGCACTTGACTTGCATCACATTGCAAAAGTCAGGGACTTAGGAATAAGCAGTAAACTGGCTAAGCTTGTAGATGGTTAAAAAAAAAGTGAACTGACTATATAGATCTCTAAAAAGAATTCTTTAAAGTGAATGAATGATAACCAAATGGCACCATGTTATACTTATTTTAAGGTAATAAGGGTAAAGTGGTAGTGGATGCTTTGGCATAAAGCCCTGCTTTGATATACACATTGATGGCATCTGTAATTAGCCATAAAAAAGATCTTGGGATCATAGTGCATTGTACAGTGAAGAGCACCTGTGGAAAAAGCAAAATTTATGCTAGGAATCCCTAGGAAAGGAACTGATAATAAAAATGCCAGCATTATAATGCCCTCATACAAATCTATGGTACATCTGGATCTGGAGTACTGTGTACAGTTCTGGCTGGTACACTTGAAAAAGGTTATAATATGGGGAAAGTGCTAAAAGGAGCAACCAAAATGATCAGAGGCCTTGAACATCTTCTGCATGAAAAAGGGTTAGAATATTTGGGATTGGAAGCAGGGAGATGTGATGAGGGGGATGTGTTGAGGTGTATAAAATCCTGAATGCATAGAGAAAGTGGGCATAAAAATATTTTCTCCTTCTCTAAAAAGCAGGGCTAGGTGCCACCTAATAAAACTGATTTGAAGGAGGTTTGACCCCCCCCAAAAACACACCTTTTCACATAGTGCATAAGTAATCTGTGAAATTGATTACTATCAAATATAGTAATGGCCATAACTTGGATGGCTTGGAAGGGGATTGTATAAATCCTTGGAGTATGATTTGAAGGGCATTATTCTTGACTGAGTGTTACTTCTGGGTTAGGAATAGCATGCTTCCACATATCAGTTGTTGGAGAATAACAACAGGGAAGGTGTTTGCTTCCATCTTGTGCTTGTAAGCACCTCAGAGTCATCATTATGAGAAACAAAACACTGGACTATGGTGGCATTGGCAGAGCTGTTCCTATGAAAATATGTCGTCTCTATTTTTAAATTTTCCATATCAGTGTTGCGTGCTGAACCTTTAAAAGATAAGCCTGCTTGAACAGATTTATAAGAAAAAATGGGGGAAATGAATGTATGACTGTAAAAAAACAGATTTAATTTAAATAATTTAATTAATTTTAAGTAATTTAATGATTTAAATTTAAAATGAACAAGGAGCATTAATTTTCACTTTCTTGTTATATTTTAATTAAAACTCTTTTACTTCTATATTATTTAAACCCTGGCTGCTTCTGGAGTTGAGAAGCAGCCCATTCAATTTCTAAAAGGAAGGTCTTGCAACGGGAGGAAATACTTACACTGTGTGCATAAGAAAACTCTGTGTTTATTCCAAATTCTAATTTTCAGTTTGGAATTTGCTCCAGAGCATGTGTCACCACCAAATTATCATTGCTCACTTCTCCATTTGTTTATCTTATTCTTTTTTAATATTAGTTAGAATAAATTCAGTGATGTTAGTGAGAATTTTCACAGGGATATTGTTGTCAGGTTTAAGACTAAAATGCTGAGAAAACTGCAGGGTTGTAGGCAAGCAGGATATGTGTGATATGGAATGATAGATATAAATGCTTACTTCAGAGTTTTTTCTTATCTCCCCTCCTTCCCCCAAAATAAAGCAACCAGCAACTTGAAGAGACAGTTACTAACCCACAAATAAAAGGAATATAGTACCTAATTTTACAGGACACAAACACAACCAGCTTTCATGGGAACCTAATGTGTTCTTTATCTTATTTTCTTTAGCCCACTGATTACTTCTTATTTACTGTAATTTCTAAAAATTAATAGGGATCTGATAGGTCTCAGCCTACCTTCTATCATTAATGTATGAAAAATCTATAAGATCTATTACTGATGTCTGCTGCCTGATGAAACATCTGGCATCATTGTGATTAATACTTCTGCAAAATCAGAATATTAACAAAGTAAATTAACACTAATTTGGGATTTTTTTCCCCTTTATATTTCTTAAATGTGCTAACTACCACTAATTACAGAATGGATACACTCCTCTGCACCAAGCTGCTCAACAAGGCCATACTCACATCATCAATGTGCTTCTTCAACATGGGGCCAAGCCAAACGCAATCACTGCGGTAAGATTGTAGAGTACTTAATGATATATTTGCAATGATTTGTTTTAAGCAGCAGTAACCTTTGGATTTCAAAGTGCCTTAGAAAATAAATTGGATTAGTCAGCTGGGATCAGATAAATAGACATGACTGCTTGGAGAACCTGTAGTAAGATATATGTCAGCTAAAAATAAATTTTAATTAATTAATTATAACAATGTGGCTATAATTTATTAAGGAAAGAATGGTACCTATTGTATGCATGAGTTCTTTAAACTATAGAATGGATATCATTGCACATATATGCTTGTCCTCATAGCATACGATTGAACATGCAGCTGCTGAGAAATGTAACATAATGTAAACACAATAGTAATAGTGAAACAAAAACTTTATCACACAAACATCATATTTCTGACACTCATTCTCCTGCAGCAGCAAATCTGATTGATTTCTTTCACCTGTTCACTCTATAAATATTGATTAAATATATAAATAAGTTTAAAAATATTGAATTCATAGATAATCGGTTACAGGCAAATCTGATTGGTTATATAATATTGCAATACTAGTGTATTTACTACATGTTTCCCTTAATATAAATAATAAACAATAAAAAAAACAGGGCATGATGCTGAAACAATAATAAAGATAGGAAGCAATGGTTATCACTTCTATATTAACTTAACAGTTACATTGGCAAGAAAATCCAAGTTAGTTCTTTTTTTTCCCTAAAGTTAAGAAAACACACTTTAGTTTCTGAATATTTCTGTATTTTTTTTTTAAATGAGAGAATGTATATATTTAAACATGTTAAAAATATACTGATTCTTATTTGCTTCATTTTTCTGGGTTTGTATCTACAGCACCATGTCCATATCTGATCTAATATATCTGAGTTGGAACCTCTTAAATTCCTACTGTATCTGGCATGTATTAATACTATCATCAAAATCACTGCCAATTAAAAGCTTATTGTCAAAATTAGACAAGAAAACAAACAACAAATAAACAATTGTCTAATGTGATATAGAAAGCTGTGGGTTAAACTATTAAAATGTGTATTTTTAAAAAATGTAACAGACAGATGTTCTGAGTTTATGTTACCATGGCAATTGGTGCTATAGTCTGAGCAAAGTTGCAACGACTGTAAAGCAGTTTTTCGTAAGCGAATGACTTATTTTGGATGGAAATGCTGGCTCATTCAGTTCTGGCTGTGATCTCATTGGTTCATATCACAACTCTCCTTTTCCTTTTCTCCTCCTTCAGAATGGCAACACTGCCTTAGCGATTGCTAAGCGTCTGGGATACATCTCAGTGGTAGACACATTAAAGGTTGTAACAGAGGAAGTGATTACCACCACAACTGTGAGTACAACAGACATTTTTCCAATACTTTATTCTGGGTTTGTTTGTTTGGGGTCTTTTTAAAGGGATAGATTAATTACAGCCAATTCAGTACTTATACTTATGTCATTCAGTACTTATAGGTGCAGCCATCTGCAGAAGTGATAAGTGTGTTCATAAGTGTCATTAAACATACCCCAGTGTATTGTTTGAATTGTATGCCTTTTCTGTACATCTCCAAACATTTCTAGTTAAATTTCATGTCAATTGTGCATTTAATTTAATAGTTACTTGGGTCACCTCTCATTTCCTGTCCTTTCTGATACTCCTTACTCCTTTATTCTTTACTTAGGGCATAGTAGTAAGGAGTCCTGAGGCCAGCCAGTACAGGAACCTGTATAGGATCACAGGTTTCTCTATCCCTGATTATAGTAAGGTTTTCACATTGCAAATAAGAAGAGAGCAAACATTTTGTGACCAGGAACATAATACAGATGCAGTTAAATCATACTCTAGATGTAGTTACCAGGTGCTTCATTCACTGCTTACTTGGAACATTTTATTTATTAATTAGGAAGAGGCAATTTATATCCCTCCTGAAGCTATGATTTTACCAATAATTGCCATCCCCCACATTTTATTCATTTGTTTAGTAAGACTCTTTTTCATACTTAAATCCAATCTGAAAGTAGATTGGGTTTATTGAATATCAGGCTTAGAAAAGATAATAACTGTGGTACAAACAAGAAATTTGAGGCAGAAGTGGATGCATTAAAAAACAGGAATGTTCCTTACCTTTTAATTGTTAGTATTTTAAGATATTGAAATTACTTTGTTCTTTACCCATCAAACTTATACAGTGAAGCAAACTGAAGCCTACTATTTACAAATCATTTCCCAAAACTAAACTAGTCTTTTTAATATTAGATGTAAACATGATTCATATGCTTGGCAGTGACAGGACTGTTGGTATTTATAGAAAAGCAGAAAAATATAAAGGAGGAACAGTTCTATTTCAAGTACAACAGACTCTTAAGATTCACAAACATCTTTAAGATTGCATTTAAGATTATGGTGGGGAAGAAGAGGATGTATTCTGTTAAATAATTAACATAGTGAATCATGCTGACTTGTAGGTATTCAGCATGGAGGGACTGAAACATTTTTAGAGAAATATCTTGCTCTGTAACCTTTTTTCAAAAAAAATCAAGCAGTTTCAAACAAATCTTAAGGCATAGTCCAGAGAGTTGCTGTTTAGGGAAAGCATTTACTGTTACACATGAAAATCTCATATTTGTATGAATTCACCCGAATGTCAACCCGAATGTCTTTTTCGTGTGGTTCAATAGCATGCACAGGCAGCTGAGTATCTTTGAAAATCAGGCATCTCACCAATTAACACTTTTGTAAAAACAAGTGGGATTTTAAACATCGTCTCCCCTTCCCTTCTGGAATCAATTAAGGTCAGCAAATTGGATGTTTTGGGATTATGTTGGAAAAGTTTTGCTCTGAGTTGATTTCTTCCATAGGAAGATATGTTATATAAGTCAAACCATTAATTTACCTAATTCAGGGAATTATAAATATTTATTTATACAATCATTTATATACCATCCACTTTAGAGATTCTAAGTGGCTTAAAGTCACCAGATACATAATCAAACAATTCTCAGAAATAAAGGATCAGAATCCCAATAAAAGTATCACAATAAAACCAAATTTCATTTTTTAAAAAAGCCTCCTTTTTAAAGAAAAAAATGCCTCTAATTAAACAGAACAAATGGGGCGGGGGTAGGGAAAAAATTATGTGTGTATAACAGCATCTCATCTTATCCTTTGGTGGTACGTGGATGTTGCTTGTCTTCCTTGCCTCCTCATCGTGGTTCCCATGTGACTGTGGGATACCAAGGTACTTGTAGCTGGTCTGTATGTCTCCTATGTGGTCTGCTGGTAGTTCCACCCCATCAGTCTCAACTACCTTCCTTTTCTTTACTACAGTCTGGCTACACTTCTCCAGTCTGAATGACATCCCAATGTCCTCACTGTAGATCTGTGTCAGGTGGATCAGCGAGCCAAGAGTCTCATTCACTCTTAGCATACAGCTTGATGTCATCCATGTAGAGGAGGTGACTGATGGTAGTTCTACTCTTGAACTTGTATCCATATGCAATGGGTGGATAACGTAGTGGTTACAGAGCCACCCTTTGACATGAGAGCCTAGG